ACACACACACACACACACACACACGTACACATACACACACACACACACATTCACACACACACGCATACTCACGCACATGTGCACTCCCATATACACACACGCACTCTTCCCTCAGGCATCCTCTCTTCCACACATGTCTGTGCACATAACCATCATAATAATAGTATGCTTGCACTCACAAACAGGCTCATAGCCACGACGTGCATAATAGTGAACACTAATATAAACAATAATAATGTTAAGCTAGATACATACTCAGTGTTCTGACTGTAATTCAACGGTATTCTGATGCATGTTCAAAGGTCTTATGAATACTTATAACAAGATACCATTGTACAGCTGCAAGAAAGGTTTGGGGAACACCTGATAATTCGAAGCTTACTTATGGAATGGTTACCACCTTCTCCCAAACTTGAGCCCTTTAAATTACTACCTTTGGTTTTTTTTTGACAGACATAGTCAACAGAAACAAGCCACAAAGGATCGAATAGTTGAAACTCAATATTGAACAGGACGTTCAAAGAATCGACCGAAACACGCCATGGTGGTATTTAAATTTTCCAGTGGCGTATTGGAGCTTGTAGGGAGAGAAATGGTCAATCCCTGGAGATTTGAACAACCCGTGATGATTTTTTTTTTTTGCTTAAAATTATTCTTCAATGCACAAATTATAGTGACCATTTGAAATAGATCAGTATGGTTGGGTTGATTTTTAAGAAGTTACAAAATTTTGCGCTTCATTCAATTTTGATTAATTTGTTAAAATACTTGATTTTTCTCGAACATGTTGGTTGATTTGTTTCATTTTGAAAAAAAATGTAGCGAAATGTAATGTCCCACCGGTTGACTTTCATTCCTTCAATGTTTTATTGAAATTGGTCTAAAGACATCTCTTTGGTCTAAAGATGACAAAGTAATTGCACTTTACATGGGTCCTCCTTTTTTAGACACCAAGTACTAAAAGGAACAATCTCGCCGCAGAGCTTTATTTATCAAACATTAGTCTTGTAAGTAACGTGAGTAACTCCTACCTTGCTTTGCAAGGACCGAGTCATATCTTAAATCACAATTTAGTAACCGTCGAGCCCCATCCTTTAAGAAGACTTCTTTCCTCAGTACAAGACAAAACAAATAAGAGATAATCCTTGTCGTAAACCTGTATTAAGTTTAAATGAATTTTATGAACTCTCACTAATTTATCACAATACAATAATCAAACTATCATAATATTATATATGAATAAACTAGAAAAGACTTTATCCCGAAATGATCAACAGATTAAAACAATAATAGCAATTGAAATACTGATTCTAAAGTAGTTTGACGTCCCCAAAGACACAATTTAGATCATTTAGAAGGTACGTTCCTTCGGTCCCGTCTGCCAGGGCCAGTTCTGGCGGGGAAACATAAAGTACCCCAGCTGACAGACAGAGATACTTGATAAATACTTTCTTCCTCATGTAACGGCAAAAGCCTAACAATAATAACTTCACCGAGGGCGGTCGCCAATCAGAAAAGGACGTATAACTCAAACCAAATAATCGAAAGAAACTGCAAACATTTAAATTTACTAGGTAACCCGTCAACAATGAAACAGACCTACACAAGAACCTACTAATCAATCAACCAAGCCATTGATAAACAATTCAGACAATCAATTTGAAAATTCAACATATTTCGCTAACCCAGTAAAAGTTAAACCAGTCGAGAGCAAATGGATTATTGTAGCTGTATGTAGGTGGTGAACAAAATGGACGATCACGATAATGGTTATTTTTACCAGCTAGGCATACCTATCATGTTAAGACCCCCCC